TTATCTATATATATATATTATATTATTTATTATAATATATATATATAATGTATAATATATTATATTATATATATATTATATATAATATATATATATATATTATTTATTATATAATATAATATATTATATATATAATGCTACAGTAATTTACTGCAGCATTTACTAAAGCATGAACAGTGATTCTTGGGTCCTCCTATAATTATAGAGGAATAGATGTATTATATTAAATATTATATTATTATAATATTATATTTAATATATTAATCTTATATTAATCTTATATTATAAGCATTAATACATCAATATCCAACCTACATCCTCTCTCAATTGTAGGATTTCATAAATTCTAAAATATAATTGTTTTTTATTATTTGGGGATTCAATATCCCAAAATTGGTTTTGAAACAAACATGGTTTATGGAATTCTAAAACCCAAAAAACTTGTAATCCACCTTATATCCCAAAAAGAAGTTGAAACAAAAGAGATGATTTCACAAATCCTAAAAATATATTATTTTTTTATAATTTAGGGATTCAATATCCCAAAAAAAAAGTGAAACAAACAAAGTTTAAGAAATACCAAAACTCAAAAAAGCACTTTTTACATCCCAAAACTTGAAATCCACCCTATATCAAAAAAAAAAAAAAAAGTGAAACAAACACCCCAGATGGTTTTCCACATGGATTATGAGGCCACGGTGGGTCGCTTTTCTGAAATTAATGATGGTTTTCCACATGAAACACGCCAGAGTTTTGTTGTTTTATTTATCTATATCTATGGGTATTTTGAATATGAGCTGTCATCTCCTTTGCCAAATGAGAGGTTCAGAGGTAGTTTAGTCGACGTTTGTCAAATTTTGGAAATTATTCTAGAGACTAATGGCTTACAGTTTTCTCGCTTCTTTCTGAATTATAATTTTTGGCTATGTTTGTGTCGATTTTCTCTATGGGCTAATGGTCCACTGGTTTGTTGCTTATTCGTGCGAATTATGTATTTTTTGTTTTATACTTCGCTCTAAAACGTTTGAACTTTTTGACCCTAAACAAGAAAAATATTAACTAGCTTATGATTGAACGTAACTCATGGCATCCAAAAGTCGTGATCTCGATCCCTGAAGCCACCACACGTCGCATCTCATAAATTAATTAGAAGTTTCTCCTCATGAAATAATGCTCGATTATCTTGTTGTCGGTCACGTGGTTTTGCAAAATGAACAACCGAGAGAAGTTGGCGGATTAGATCCGCAACATATGAAATTTTATTCCTGTAGCTCCCTTGACCAGCCTGCTGACGCTTGACGTTTTATTTGCGCATTTTCAATGTTATGGCATAGTTGGTGTTGATTTGTGATGCTAATAATACAACTGAGTACAGAATTCTACAACCAAAGGAGCCCTCCGGATAGCCACTATGCGCACCTTCAAGTCATGTAACGGACTCATCTATTTTGAAGGAGAGTTTCTAAGAGCCTATCCAACAGGACGTAAAACACCAAGTTAGCGTCCGGTTCTCACTCCAACCGGGCGCCATCGGCCCCGCTAAAATAGCGGGCCGCTACAGTGTTGCGTCAGAAATGACGTAATACTGTAACGATGGCGCAATAATTTTTTTTTTGTAAAAACTTGATATGGAAGGTCTTTTATGAGAAGAAATACAGAAACGAACTTTTTTTCTTTTGTTATTTATATTTGTATTAATAATATATATTATTTTATATTAACTATTATAATGAAATTAGAATATAAAATAATTATTAAAATAAAATTCAACAATGGAAGAAATAATTATATTCTTTTTGGAAATTAGAGTAGTAAAATAATTATATTAACTATTATATTTTTAAGATTTTTATTTTATTCATAAAATATATTATTATAATTAATTATATGTAATGTATTATATAATTATATAATTTGTTAAATATTTTAAATAGATAAAAATATTAAAAGATAAGAATAATAAAAAGAATATTCTTTTTGGTGTAATATTTGGTGTAATGGGTTGGAGATGGAATAGTGATTTGGTGTAAAAATTACATCATTTTGGGTTTTATGGTTGGAGATGCTCTAATAACTAGTTCAAACACAAATCTATCTAGGGGTCAGAAACAAATCAACAGATAATTTTTCAGGGTAGCATTCTGAAAGGAAAAAAAAGGAAAAGAAAAAGAAAAAGAAAAGAAAGACGAATCAGCAGGAGAAATATTGTACGTGTAACTGCCAAATTGATGTTTCTAATTAGAACAAAATTTCAAAACAGACTCAAAAAGATTTTTATTTTTTAAAATCGACCCGATTTTATTTATTTATCAAAATGGACCCACTTTTTGCCACGTGGGCTTAATAAAGTTCCTAAACAGTCGGGGTTGGCAACCCCGACTGTTTAGGAGAGTGTTAAACCCCAATTAGAACTCTTAAACCCAAAATTTTCATGTCCTAAACAGTCGGGGTTTGCAACCCCGACTGTTTAGGAACATCATTAAGCCTACGTGGTAAAAAGTGGGTCGATTTTGATAAATAAAAAAAAAAACAGGTCGATTTTGAAAAATAAAAAACTTTTTGAGGCTGTTTTGAAAAATTCCTCTTCTAATTAACCTAATGCATTTTCATGTAGAACTGGAAGTAACTTACAACATACAAAAGACCGGAGCATGCCCACCCTCCGAAATGAATATACAGTACCGACAGTTGATGATCTTGACCCATGTAAAGTTACATTTCCTACCTAGGGGGTGGGGGTGGCTCCAGTGGCGGATCTACACCATTTTTAGTGGTGGTTCAAAATATACATTTGATTTTTCTTTTCAAATAATAATAGAGGAGAAAAAATAATAAAGGAAGAGTTATTAAAGGGAAAATTGTTTTTTAAGCAATGATTTGGCTTATATATATAAGAAAAAATAATATTAGAAGATCTTAAAGGAGTAGACAAAAAAAGGGATGAAAAGAAAGGAACAGAAGAATAAGAAAAAATGAGGGGAGGTTTGTTAAGAAAAAGCAAATGTGCAAGGGTTGGAGTATCGAACTCCAGACCTCTTACTCACTTTTTTAAACCAGCTTTGATACCAATAGGCTGTAGAGACCTTTGGTATTTTTGATGATA